AAGTCGAAAATATAGAATAACAATTTTTCGTTTGAGACTTCGTTTTCGAGAAAATCGACTTTGAATTTTCGCTCGGTACGTCTCGTTATAACGGATCTCATTGTAGATCGTTGTCTCGATTGACGTTATTTTAAAAATTTTTTAAATTTTTAAAATTTTTAAATTTTAAAATTTTTAAATTTTTAAATTTTTAAATTTTTAAATTTTTATTCTATATTTTCGACTTCCTTTTTCGCGTAGAATCACCCCCTTTCCGCTTGTACCATCAGTTACCAACCCCCTGTATATCTACACGCGCATTGTACACATTATAGTGAACGGCTGGGACCACTTGTTGTTTGAGACTAACTTTACCAGGCCCGGTGAAAAATGACCGATTTCAATGTTTAATTTAAAATTGTACATTCGTTGTTATTTCTCTCGTTCGTCTAACTGCAATTTTTGTCTCAATTTTAGTCTCAGTGTTTGTTTAATATAAGAATCAACGTAATGTTAGACGAACGAAAGAAATAACGACGAATTTTGAAATTCAATTTTGAAACCAGCCATTTGACCGGGCTTGATAATGTTAGCGTTAAATGCTTGCATTAATCGACTGTTCCTCGTGAACGAAATTATTCACCGCGTCTCTGAGAAATGGTTCCCCGAGACGTTTCGATTTACCATTAACTGAGCGTTCGCTCCACTTGTTAAATTACCGGAATTTACGCGGAGTTAAGATCGCTGTTGAGCGAGATTGAAATCGCGAAGTACTCGTTAAATCTTGTGTAAAATAATGGCCGCTATTGGAAACCCTTGTCGCAATCCCTTTGCGCGCAAGATTCTTTCGTATTATCATAGGAGGGTAGTAGTTGCTTGACAAGTATTGTTAGAAGATACAAGAAGACCCGACAGTTTGATTATTCGAACACTGGAACGTTCAAAAATTTGCAAGCTTGAAAATCGTAAGGTTCGAAAATGTACAAATTTAGAAAACCGATGCGGAGTTTCCGCTGGATTCAATTCGGACAAAATATCGAGAACAAAAAGGTACGGTCAGTTTTGTAACAACAGACAAGATTTTTTTTTTTAAATAACGTTTATTAGACCAAGATACATTTTAATACATTTGGGTATTCACAATACACTATGAATTTTGATAAGATGTGTTAAGTACATTTACATTTTTTGTGTTTTAATATATTCTTTGGATTTAAGCCGCTGGGGAGCGGAGCTTTTATGTGATTTCGTTTTTAGTTGTTTTTTCTGTCCTGAAAACTTGGTCGTAAAACAGGACGCTTCGGTAGTCTGCTTTTTGGGTGCTGTGTAACTTTGGGGAGAGGCGGGATGAGAGGGAGGGGGATGTTAAATAGGTTTATTTACAAAATTTACAATATTTACAATGTTCACGCCTGTGTTATACGGGGGCAGAATTGAGTTCTGTCGGTTTAATGTTTTTCTCTCTTATTTTATTATGGATTCGGTATCCACCAATATATTTTTGTGCTTTTTCTGTGCTTGTCTTTAGTATCTTTCAGAGGGAGAGGGTCATATTGTATCTTCTATCTTCTATCTAGTGTCTGCGGTCTGTCCATTTAAGTTTTCTTCGTAGAGTATAATTTTGATTCCTATTTTTCTTTTTATGTGATAGATTATTGGCATATTATTTTGGTCTTGGAGGTAGTTTTTTTCGTCTAAATATAGGAAAGCTTCTGGGACGATGTAGTCACGTGACAACAGACAAGAGCATCGCAACGTTCGACAAACATATTCCGATACAAATTTTGGGATAATCCAACAAGATGTCGACTATTCCGGTGGTCGAAAAGGGCTCGTTATCTAATTGTACGACAGGAGCATCCTTAAAGGTTTTAACGACTGACAGAACCCAGCCAGACTAAATTTACGTTAGCGTAATTTGACATAAGGACGGAGTCGGTGCGTTGCCTGGTCGCAGATAGTTTGCAATTGGGTCACCGAGTTTAACATGCTCTAACAAACGCGTATTCTCCGCGGTGGAACTTGCACGGAAGTTTATGCAGCATAAAGATTATTATAGTTCCAAGGCGGACGAGAAGTTCGACAAAGACGCTTCGTTGGAATCTCCAAGAAAATTTCAATCCCACTGAATTATATCGCATCTGGATGTTACCGTGAATTATTTTCGTCGAATCTATAAAATAATTATGTAAACGCGTCAATGGTACAATTTTATCGACAAGTCGGACATAAAATCGTTCCTTGTTCGTTATTAAACAGATCCTATCGTTTTGTCGGTCGTTTCGAAACAGAAGCTCAATGACTTTCGTAGACGAATGTAGTTCGTGTCCACTGAACCACATTATTAGCCACCTTTCGAGTTTCACCCTCGAGATTTCTGCTTTCCCTCTTCCTCCAAGCAGAATATTTCTCAACGATTCCCTCTTCCATGAGCTTTCCATTTCCGAAACGTCTCGGTCCACCGTACTAGCCTCGCGTTCCTCCTCCTCGTCGAACCTCCTCCGGTACGCGACAGTTTCTTTAATTTCGTCGGCGATCGAGACACTGTCGCGCGAATTGTCCAGCTGAATGGGTTTTCGAAACGCCGTGAAGCAAAAAAAGACAGTTAGTTCCATTGGCTTGGCAACCAAGTGATTGCGGACTTTGTCGATACCATCTAATGAGAAAATCCGCAATCACATAGTTGCCAGTCCAATAGCAGTACGCAGCAAGCGGACGTTGAACATGGAAGAAGAACGTGGAATCGTTGGCGTCGCTCGTTTCAAAGCCGAGATCCAGAACGAATCACCGTCCTTTATCTTCTTCTCGTTTCTTTCTTGATTCCCTGTGAACCGGTAGCGACGACCAAAATGGGATTCACCTCGGTCGTGGTCGGTCGATCGGCCGGTAAGTGCGTTCGAATGGAAGTCGAGGGAAGGATAAAAGCACCTTTAGCGTCGAATTGAATTTTCCACTCGACACGACAGTCCGACCTCCCTCTGTAAATTCAATTAGCGCGGTAGAATCTCCGACGACCAGGAGAATTTTTCCGATGGAAGCAAGCCGACGCGCATGATAATGCGCCGCGAAGACGAACGATCGATCACCGCGAGTCGCAATTACGATAAGAAGGGCAGGGTCGCTGGCACAGGCTGGCAGAAGGTAAGGTGTGGTTCTCCATTCTCACCCTGCTCCATGGAAACTCGCCTTTGTGCCGTTAACCGGCTTCGTTCTCCTTCCTCTTTTTCTCTCATTTCCTTCTACTCTGCTTCCTCCTTTTTTTTTTCTCTCTCCTCGTCCCTTTTCTTGCGTTCGTTACCGTGCGCCGCGGGTAGTTTCAAAGCGGTTATTTTATGTAAAGCAGGGGGAAAAAGAAGGAATGACGCGACAGAAGCCGGCGGGTCGAGAGAGTTTTCGTGACGAAAATTAGCTGGACGCGGTAAATTTGCGGACTCCGATAAACTGACGAATAAAATTTCCTCCATCGCCGCGCTCTCCTTCAACTTTTCTTCCGCGCGTTTCTTCCCGTTATCGTTGCCGCTTTTAATATCAATTAAGCCGAGATTTCGCCTTTAAGATTTCTACGAATGCACTCGCCCCCTTAGAAACCGTCCAACAGTTTACTTGGAAATAAAGAAGAGATAAGTCGCTTCTGTCGTCTACGACGAATACATTTTACGGTAATTGTATTTGCGGCAGGATCGAGGTCGATCGAGATCGGAATTCAAGCCGCGAGCGTGTGATATTTCGCTTCTTCTTTAATATTCCGCTTATTCTACTAATTTTATAGTATCGTCGGTATTATCGTCGTCGAATTAACAGCCGCTCGTTGTGCATAATTTATTACCTATTAGAATTTCATATTTCTCCTTCTTCGTTAGCAGTACAACGCAATATTTCGCTGTTTGGTATTTTATTCGGCCATTATGGCCGAATACGATTTAACGTAATTCGTTAATAATATAATTCATGACAATTCCATTTCCTAATCCGTGGCAACGTATAGTAAAGTTCAATAATATATCTGGTTGTTAAAACTGTACGCCACAACTGAATATCGCAGCGTGCTGTTACGCCTCAATATTGCAACTCGCAGCACGCTGGCAAGCTTTCAACGTTGATCCAAATTTTAAACGCATCTGCCTTTAGTTTTCTTTATCGTCCAATACTCGTGTGTAATGCCTATATTCCCGCCTTTTATTCCACCCTGTTTCGCGGCCTTTTATTCCTCCTATATTCCCCCCTTTTTACATTCGTTTTCCTACGCTTTTTTCTCCTAACGAAAACACCACGAATAATGGAAACGCTTTGGAAATAAAAGAATTCGGTCGTTGACGTTGGCGCAGGCGAGCACATTGCGAGCAGATATTGCGTGCGACACTGCGAAATGTCAGATTACCCTCAACAACCTTTAATCTCACGTCAGCATTTAAATTATTCCCGTACGTATTTGTTTAATACGAATATATGGCGCTGAAACGACAATCGCGTGCGCCGCTCTAACTAACGAAAAGATAGCCTCATAGAATGTTTTTAACGCACGTAAGACGTTCGAACGAATGTTCCCAACTAACGGGATAATAACCGTAAATAATATTTAATGCTCGTGAAATATTCGAACGTTTACAGAAAAGCAATTTAAACAGATAGCTTGAATTCACGTCGTCCTAACGTTATCTTATACGTATTTTCGTGGCCGCTATTTCTTATTGAATTCTTCATCGTCTTGATTCCATTCCTCGCGGGAATATATTTTATACGATCTTGCAAAACTTTCTTCGACATAGCAGTCGGACATTTATCCTCAAAGGCAAAGTAACTGATCGATAGTCGGCGCTTCAAATTTTTCTCGTGCTTTTTCGTAAATGTGGAAGTTGCATTCGACATTTCCAAGTACATTTGCATTCGACGGTGTCTCGCATAGCGCGGTCAACCGGGACCACCGGGCGATTTTTCATGCAAAAATTAATTGAAAATGTCGAATAAAATTCTTCCCCCAAATTATATACTGCTAGAGGAATGCAAATTAATAGAAATGAAAGAAAAAGCATTAAAAAGAGAAGAGAATGCACTAGAATCAAAAAAGGAATTAGTAAAGGAGTGCATAAAGGAAAGAGATAGAGAGAATGGGGGAATAGTCAGGAAGGGAAAAGAGCAAGAAAGAGAAAGAAGGGACTAGAAGAGGTGAGAAAAAGGAGGGACGCAGATGGAAACAAGAGAAGAGCAAGAAAGAATGACGGCGGACCAAATTATAGAAGAAAGAAGAAAGAGAGAAACAGAAGAGAGGGGGAAAAGGATAAGGGAATCCAAGTATAACGCACACTACAGGAACATAGCCAAAGAGAAATTACCAAAGTACTTAGAAGGGAGGATGAAATGGAAGGACAGAAGAATACTGGCAAGATTCAGATACGAACACCAGACCAAAGCAAGGGAATACTGGAAGGAAGAGGGGGAGAAAAGATGCAGACTATGCAGAAGGAAAGAAGAAGACCTAAGACACGTAATAGAAGAATGTGAAATAACGAGAGGACCAAAAGACATAGGAAAAACGCTAAACGAGACTGGAGAAGGTTTAGCGGAACTGAAAGCAATTATAGAGAAAAGAAGGGCAAACGACAGGAAGGAGGCTAAAGACCAAAGTTGCAATAGTTTTTAGCCATTAGTTGATAATTTATAGTTCGCTATAAATGAACTGCATGGTAGTGCAATAGAATAGAAAGAAGAGAATTAGATGTAAAACCGAAAGTTGGTCCAAAGTCGAAAGGCACGGACTAAACAGTAATAAATAAAATAAAATTCTTTCCACCGGGGAAATCTAGTTTCGAAGAATCGTAATAATTCGCCGAGTCTATTTAAACTCGAACTGATCGTCGATCGCGTACGAGCAAATAATCGGCGAAAGGTTATTGTACACCCGAGGATCAGTGAAAAATGTGGAATCAAATTTTCCCGTTTAAAGCCTTGCACGGCCAAGAGAATAGAATTTGAAGAATTTAATACAGGCGAATGGTAAATTGTCAAAGTTATTTTTCTCGAAAACGGATCTCGCGAAAAACTTGTACCGTACATTTTCCACTTATTTTCATATACGACATAGACGATAGCCTTTGATCCATAGTTTGCTCCTCTCCGGCCCGGAATTAGCCACGTTCAAGCATACGCGATATACTTTTCAACTGGATTTTCTCGAAAACCAAGTTTCGCTCGAGCAGATCTTACATTCTACATTTTCGTATTGCTGTGCGTACGATCAGCCTCTAGTCGGCTGACCGTGTTACGCAAGACACCCTGTACATGTACCGGCGATTCATAGAGTACGTAATAGGTCAGAGAAATACGTGTACATTGACTTGCACTTGTTTAATAATTAACATTCATGAAGAAACGTATCACGGTATCACAGAGCGATGTAAATGTATTAGTTTGTCGCGAAGATCTATTTATAAGGAAATAATGGATACACAACATTCACTGTTTCGTATCGTTTCATTGAATTCTTTACGACCCATTTTGTTCCCATAGAACGATAAATCGGTAAAGCAATACAAAAGAAAGAACGTCGTATGTGTACTATTTCCCTTACAAAACGAAACTTATCAAAGGAAACCTTATAAAATGAAAGTTTTGGAACAGCCTAATATTTTCGCGTCACGTAACGCTATTAAATCTAAACGTTTGCGGGCGTCTCGGTGTTCCATAAATACACAGACGTGCACAGTCTGTCTGTCTACTTGTCACGCCAATGCCACGCAGAATTAACAAGTCAAAAAAGATCGATCTAATCCTCGTAGTATTTTTCATTCGATTTCGACAAACGAACGTTGCTTCGCGCGGATGTACATTTACGTGAAATCTATTCTCCGCATCTTCGACGCACCTACATACATAGATAGACGCGTTTACACGCAAACATACACACACACACACATTTACAGAAAGCTGACAAATCGACGCATCGAACGAAGATCATCAGCGCGAACGGTGCACCGGCGCCGAAACGTTGATCGACCGACGGTGTAGCGTGGAAAACCGAGTGTGGAGCATCGGTAAGCCGTTCGGCTTCCACGCCCAGGAGTATCGCGAGATCTCCGATGACGTGGTTGTCCACCTCGTTGCCATTGCCGTCGTTGCGTATCCCATGATCCCCTGAGACGGAAACCGCCCATTAGCCGGCCAATGATGATGCCAACGGACACCCAGGTCAGCTCTCCGTCGTGGTACCGCGCAGAGGCCGGCACTGACGGCAGCTTTCGTTCGTCCACTCGTTTCGTTTCGTCCAAGAGACGGCAACCGTCCGACGAACGGCAAAGTTTCGTCGATCATTCGGCTGTTGGGCAAAAAAGGACTCTCTTCGTGGAAAGTAAGATCGTCGGGAATATAAAAAGAGGGGACGGATTTAAAAAGGGAACAGGATAATTTTACAATTGGATCGAAGGGAATATAGTCGTTGCTCGTCGCTAGCTGCATCTCGAGGATCGGAAAGATTCGCGAGAGGTGGCTGAAAATTGGAAGATCTCGCGGGTCTCTTCCAGTGGATAATTGGATCGTCGGGGACTGTGAGTTTAATCGGTTCGCTCGCTACGAATCTTGCTACGATCCTTTTTCGTCGTTTGGACGTCGTCCGGGCGGCTTTGACCGGCTTTCGCAAATTGGCGAAGCGATCGGCGCGGCCGATTAAGGAGGACGTGCGGAGAATACCGGATGCGAATGGAAGGATAGAAACTGGACGGAATTGCGAGGACTAGTGACGCATCGATCGACGTTCGTTTGTTTGATAATCGGTGGTTCGGTTAAATTAACTCTGACCACGTAGCGCGAACATTGTGTTCGTTCCTTGGAGGCAAGCGCGAAGGAAACTTGCGAGGAAATCCACGGGCATATTAATTCCATATTAATTCTACGTCGATGGTTTGTCTTTGTCAACGATAAAGTGAGTTCACGGACGAAGCGAGGGTTAAGATCGGAGAAAAGTAATGGAAATAGAAATAATGGAAAAGTGAAAGATAATAATCGAGTGGAGCTTGTCTTACGGAATAGTAATAATAATAACGATGATTACGATTAATCACTGTGACCTATAACCATCGAAAGTTTTATTTTGGATGTGGCGGTTACATCATTCGCACAGTTGCATCGTGGATAGAGAAAAGTGTGTCGTTATGCTTCCCCCTGCGCTCAATGTAAACCCCTGTTTCGATTAATCGAGTGAGCGGCTAAGTTTCTTGATACGCAGTGACATAAATAAGCGATGACCAGTGATCACGCGAACGCTCGTCATTCTTTCGCTTCGCAGTTCCGTAGCAAGTATCTCGCGAGTGACAGAGGAAACCGCCACGTGATCTACATGGATCGGTATGTGTGGTTCTTCGTATTTTTCGAAAAAAAAAAAAAAAAAAGAAAAAAAAAGAAAAGAATCTCTACCCCAATTTCATAGTTTGGAATTACGTGGGAACATTTTCGATGGGATCTCGTATCTGTCTGTTTCTAGAATCAACTCGATATGACGATGCGAAACGTGTTTTCGGTAACGACGTTTTTACTAGAAAAATTTCCTACTAAAAAAAACTTTCTGGCTGAAAGAAAAAGTTAAAAAAAGCTGCTTCGGGTTACAAGAATTTCCTGCTCTACCGAAAGCTATACTTTCGCTGAGAACGACGCTTTTTTGCTGAAATAACCGCTTTTTTTTAATTAAAACGGTAGAAAAAGTTCCCATTTAATTAAAAATATATTTCTTTTTGGCTAAGCGATCCTCTTCTCTGCTGACGAATTATTTCGAGGATTTTCAAAAGGTACCCACGTGCGAAACGACTCGGAAACGTAAATAGAAATGCTGCGTTCGAATAAACGCGATGCAAGAACAGATAATTTAACCTTCGAAAGAGCGTGTTCCCCGAGTATCATTAACCGGTTAGCTGTTGCAGCCTCTTTAAAAAGTGTGTACCTAAAACGCGTGGCGAAATGTAAAGGACGACGAGTATACTCGTCGAACGCGGAGTACGTGTTACCATACGGAATTAGCTTGTCACGAAATGACTGTTTTATTTCTTAATTTTATTGCCGACGGGGCTCGTCCTAGCACAAAATATCGCCATTTCTTCGTGACGAGTATACTCGTGAAAAACAGCTAACTAGTTAATTCACCGGTAACTCGTTTTACTTTCATCTTCGTTTTTCTTCTTCGTTGCTAACCGAGGATCGGAACTTTGGCCCGATTTACTGTTGGCGGTGTCGCCCTAAGCCTGGTCTGTCGAAGTTATACATAGAAAAAATACCATGGGATAGTAAAAGCAGCAGGGGCTGAAAGCGATAGCGCGTTAGGGTGGCGGGAACCGAGCTCGTCCGGGGACAAATATTTTTCGAAACTTTTCCTTCCAGCTACGTCCAACCAAGTTACGTATGAATCAAATTATAAAGAATAAATATACCTCGTAAAAAGCGACGAGAAACATATCTGACAGTAAGCGTTTTTTTACCATTTTTCATTCTCTTCTTTCTTTTTTTTTTTTTTTGTTTGCTTCCGATGTATCGTTTCACACGCGAGTGAAACGTGTCTCGAATATCCCTCGCTATGCCAAAAATCTGGAAACCGCGTCACTCGCGCGCCTGAAACGGAGAACATTTAAACGGAAAGTTAGAATCAGGATTTCGACAATGGCTGTCGTGTGAAAGGACGTTGCAATTATTCAGGATCGTCGAGTGAAACAAACGAAGCGAGATAATACGTGAAAGAACCGAGGAAGAAACGAGCGGAATAGCAAAGAAGAAATAATCGCAGCAACGGCCGGGTCCAATCCAAATAAATCCAATCCGCTTTCTAACTTTCCAACGAACAAGGAAGAACAACAACGTTGCCTACGCAACCGCGTTATTTTCACAGCGAATAGTCGTTCTTGCGGCATTTTCCGCACTTCCATCTGCCGTTGCACGTCGTTCGATGATCGACGACGACTGCAACAACGATGTTTATCGAAATAGCGTGACGGCGATGATAAATTATTATTTTCCGCGATCGGATAAAACGCGCGAGAAGAACGGATCGCGTAAATTCTTCGAAACAATACCATCACGGGATCGTTTCATCCAATTCGCGGTCTTAACGGATCGTTAATCCGAACTTGCAGAGCTGTACGAATTTCAGCTACGCGACTTTTTATCTTTAATTAAACTACGGGACAGGGGTAGATGAATCCGAGATTTTGGAAGGCGAGCAACGGCGAGATTATCGCGGAACGTTCGTAAGTGGAAACTATAAATTTCGACTCGCTGATGGCTACGGATAATCCCGAAGCCGCCGGGCTCATATATCTTAACTTATATTCGGTTATTAAGGCGAGTCATAACAATTCAAATCATTTACAACTTCCGTTTAAAGCCGCTCGAATTTATTACGAATTTTCTACGTTTATTAAACGAAAATTATTTCTTCATTTACAAGGATAGGAGCATCTCGTTCCGAGATTATTTCCAAACTTTCCTTTTTCTCTCTTTTTTTTCTTTCTTTTTTTTTTTTGCAATCCGATGTATCGTTTCGCACGCGAGTGAAACGTGTCTGGAATATCCTTCGCTATGGCAAAAATCTGGAGACCGCGTCACTCGTGCGGCTGAAACAGAGAGAACAGAACTCTAATTATCCTGATCGTCGAAGAATCTTTGCCT